AATGGGAACGGGAATGGGAACGGGGGAATGGGAACGGGAATGGGAACGGGGAAATGGGAACGGGGGAATGGGAACGGGAACGGGAACGGGAGCGGGGAAATGGGAACGGGAATGGGAGCGGGGAAATGGGAACGGGGAACATGGGAACGGGGAAATGGGAACGGGGGAATGGGGACGGGGAAGTGGGAACGGGGAAATGGGAACGGGAATGGGAGCGGGGAAATGGGAACGGGAATGGGAACGGGAATGGGAGCGGGGAAATGGGAACGGGAATGGGAACGGGAACGGGAATGGGAGAACGGGAACGGGGCAGTGGGAATGGGAATGGGAATGGGGCAGTGGGAACATGGGAGCAGGAACAGGAACGGAGGCAGGCACGTTCACTTCCCAGGCGTTCACTTCTCCAAGGACTTTGGAAAGCATCCCTGGCTCTCCCCAGCTGCTGCAATCCCCTGGGTATCCCAGAAGATGCTCGACGTAAAACGGGTGTTCTCCATCTGGAAAAATTTTGAAAGGGGCAGTTGAGCCTTGATTTTTCATTAGATCCCCTCGCGTTGCAGCAGATCCGATTTCCTTGTTAATTGGGTGCTGTTCATTTTCTCCACTTCATTACTTGCCGCCGCACCTAGAATTTATATCCATTTGGCTTAATCGCGTTCGCCTGGTTAAATTCCAAACAGTCACTCGCTCAGAAAGGGAATTACTACCTCGCTTTGCCAGGACTTCCACTTTGCCTTAATTTCCCCGGAGCCCCGTTGGCTCCGCTCTGCCTGTTTTCCCTGGCTGGGTCCCCTGGGCCTGGCTGGGAGCGCGGGGTGCCCGTGCCATCCTGGCTCGTTCCACGTGCCACGGCAGGAGCTGCTGGGCTCTGGCATTGCCCAGCACAGCCTCGCCCAGCCCAGGCTTGAAAAATGCACGGTGGGAGAGCAGGAGCCACGTCAGGTGTATCAGAGGTGCTTTTGGGGTTCTCTTGGCTTGTTTGTGTTGCTATTTTGTGCTCTTTTTGCTCTTCAAAGGAGCAAAGTGGAAAACCAGAAAACTTTTGCTTTGCGAGGAAAAGCCTGTTCTTTGCCTGTTTTCACACTTAATGAGCACTTGAAAATATTGCTGAGATTTCAACTAATTCCACTTGCCAGTTTCAACCACAGAAGAGGCTTGGTGGGGTACATTTTTGGAGGGTTTATTTGGGTTAGTTTTTTTGGGTTTTTTTTTGCTTCAGCTTCTTCCTCAGTTTCTCCTGCTTTTCTGCCCATTTCTCCCTGGCAAGAAAATGCAAAAGTAGATGAAGACTCATTCTGTGGATATTTAGCATCTGTGGCCCCCTGGGCTGTGCCTGGGCAGTGACAGGCAGTAGGACACCAGCCTCTCCTGTCCCCTCCCAGCTCACAGACATATTTCACCGCTGGCTCCCAATGGAAAGCTCCTGCTCCATTCTCCAGCTCCCAGCAGTTCTGGTCAGGAGGTGATGATCTCCTGGAAGTGGTCACGAGCAGACAGGAGCTGTGAGATGCTGAGACCACAGCCGATGTCTCCCAAGCTATCACCTCTCAGCCCACCTGCTGCAGAGTGGGGACAAACCGTCCCGGTGAGGATGGGAACTGCCCCATGGCAGAAACGCCCCGGAGCCCCTCAGGCTGTGTTCCCTTAATGCAGGGATGTGACCCCAAGTGCCACAGAGCCGTGGCACAGCCCATATCCCAGTGCCAGGGCTCTCTGGCCACAGCCCGGCCCAGGGGCAGCTCCTGCAGCGGGTGCAGAGCCTGTGGCAGGGCAGTGCCAGCTCCTGGGGCGGTGGCACTGTCCCCTTGCTCCCCGGCCCCGCTGGGCTCCATGGTGCTTCGAGCTGTGGCACAGCTCCAGCTGCAGTTCCCTGTCCGCACGGGCACAGGGGTCCCTGACGGGGCAGGAGTGTCCCTCACAGGGCAGCTGTGTCCCTGACAGGGCAGGAGTGTCCCTGACAGGGCAGGTGTGTCCCTCACAGGGCAGGAGTGTCCCTCACAGGGCAGGAGTGTGTCCCTGACGGGGCAGGAGTGTCCCTGACGGGGCAGGTGTGTCCCTGACGGGGCAGGTGTGTCCCTGACAGGGCAGGAGTGTCCCTGACGGGGCAGGAGTGTCCCTGACAGGGCAGGAGTGTCCCTGACGGGGCAGGAATGTCCCTGACAGGGCAGATGTGTCCCTGACAGGGCAGGTGTGTCCCTGACAGGGCAGGAGTGTCCCTGACAGGGCAGGTGTGTCCCTCACAGGGCAGGAGTGTGTCCCTGACAGGGCAGGTGTGTCCCTGACGGGGCAGATGTGTCCCTGACGGGGCAGGAGTGTCCCTGACGGGGCAGGAGTGTCCCTCACAGGGCAGGTGTGTCCCTGACGGGGCAGGTGTGTCCCTGACGGGGCAGGAGTGTCCCTCACAGGGCAGGAGTGTCCCTGACAGGGCAGGAGTGTGTCCCTGACGGGGCAGGAGTGTCCCTCACA